AAAGCACTCAAAGAAACTCTAGCGTTTTTAAACAGGTAATTTAAGTTTGGCTCAAGGCAACATTGAAACTCTTTATCGATTTAAACTTAAACTAATCAAGTCGGGCAGCGAAAATCCAATATTTGCCATTGACGTTTTAACTAAATTGTTAACAACTCAGCAACTCTGTAAAACTTACTTCATTTCACAAATTTCTGAAAATTCCATAATTACAAAAACTTTCCCTCTTGCCGTTCCTACTTTGCGTTTATCCGCGCTTTATTTTTGAATTGCATTTTTAATGTTTTCAGCGATGATGATGACGTGCTCGCTTTTTGCGAACTTCCGAGTTGCTCGTGCGCGCAGTTTATTTATGCCACATCGATAAAATGTTATTCGACGCAGGTAGTCGTGCACTCGACGCGCTCCCGATGTTCGAACAACTCTTTGGTCTTTTCGCTCAAAGCGGCAGCAACCGGGGATGAACATCAGAGCGACGCGTCGTGTGTGCCCGCCGAAGCGTTCACACGATAGAGTACGCTTGTTTAGCCACCCCAAAACGCTCGCGCATGTACACACATATTCCAACCCTCCCACATCCCACATACGCGCACGCATAAATGTAGCACATATGCTTACACTTTTGTCACTTTGGTTTCGGTTCCTTTTTTCAGGTGCTTCCGAGAGCGACCACTCTATTTATATAATATGGTTATGCCCTTAAATAGCTCAAGATTTTGAGAAAAATAGAGTTGTCACTATTTTGGATTAAATTTATAAATGGCTTTCAATTATGTTTTAGAACAGAATTTTAAATGTTTATAATTTTAGGCATTGTAAAATTTATCTTAAACTGTATGGTTGATTAAACAAACAACACTATTGAGGATTAGAAGCACTCCACCGGCATAAGGCATTTAATGAGAATAGCTGGAATATTGGAGATCGGATTGTTTCCCAGATGCGCTACCACCTCAACCATTACACATACATCGAATGCAGGTAAGTCCTGTTCTATCCTGCAGCTGAGCATGGACCTTGCCACACCGGACACCAACTACTGGCCCACGATGCATTTACCAGGCAACTCCATCCGGAATCTCTGTTTGTTTCCGGTTCATGTGTATACGAGCTTTTAGTTTTACCTGTGTACACGTAACCTGGCCATGTGTGGGATGGTTCGGTCCAATGCAGTGCTAACTTGTTTAATCAGTATTGATTAGACATCAGCCGACTATGTCAATACCTGCTGGCTAACACTGGGCAATACATGCACCGCCAAATAAAATTCGGGCAACGACTTTTCGATATTATAGATGATATCCATGATTATTCAAAATATTTGAAATAATTGATTTGTTTAGCTTGAGATGAAGGTAAACAAGATTGAATATTAGAGTTTGCGGTGAGGGTATGGCGTCGTTGATAAAATCGAGGATTTTGCAGCAGTTAGTTTGGTTTGGCAGTGGAGCGGAATTGGTTTGGCTGGTTCGGTAGAGTTTTGGGTCGATGGAAGTTGCTGTCCGTTGCAGACGCTCTGCCCACTTGCTTGATTGGCAGGTATAAAATTAAACGGTACAAATTATGAATACGGGATGACAATGAAAGGACAAAAAATTTAAATTACAACCAGAACATCAATCTCATTAAATTTTTTTCTTAATAAAATGTCTTAATTTTCTCATGTTCTATTTTAATATAGCATATATTATATTTTTTGTAATTTGAAAATTTTTGAAATACCTATTTTATATTTGATTGCATTTTGGAATGTGTTTGAGTTGTATGTTTGCATGATTGCATCACAAAATTAATTTGACGCGTTGACAGGCAAGTATTATCTAGATGTGAATTTTTCAAAGTCTATAAAAATAGCAGAGAAGGCCGTCCGACAGAGCCGCAATTCGGTTGAAATAATGGAGGCGTAATGCATTCACAGGACCGCGCGTAAAATTGTATAGAAAACAATTGTGAACAAAACATTTTGTTCCAGCGAGCGGGTTTGCGATGTAGGTATGAACATTATGATGATAATCACAATGAGATGGCATTCATACGTCCAAAAATTAAACTGCATATTCACCGGAATGCAAATGCAACCACTATCACGATTTCACAAACATGTCATGTATTAAAATACTAAACATGGCAAAAGTTGAACAAAAGTAAGGAAGCAAGTGGGCCCGCCTCCACAATTTTCATGTTTCGGATTTGCCTGCTACTGAAGATGCTTTAATTCTTGCTGACGTTTTGTCTGACAGATTTTAAAATGTTGCACGTAGGACTCACGTCTCGTCGCACTCTGCGCACCTTTCTTTCGAGTGGAGATGAAAGTTGCGAGGAGGTATGTTGTTCGTACTTATTTCGAAAGGCGTCCCGCTGCCGCCAATGGTTAGCAAACGTCGACTGGCGAGCGGAGGGCGCCCAAAAAGCTTTTAAATTTCAGAATTTTCGCAGACAGCTTGACAAGGTTGGGTCGGGCATAACTGCTCGTCTGGATTACGTCTACTGTCGGATGGCAGCGCAGCGACGGTGCCGAGCTGCATCGACGTCGCAAGCGCATAATTATAATAATCACAGACGTGACGTGCAACACGCCAAATTTGATAAGAAAATCTGCTCGTCGAGATAATATGCCCAGAGTGCTCCTGATTTAGTACCTACCACTACTAGGAAAAAGACTTATGAAGGAAATTGCGGTGGAATTCTACTTTGTATCAAAATGTTAAAGGTTTAAACAGTTTATCTATCTTGTTTGGTGGTCAGTTAGGGATTTATTATAACTGTTGACAAAAGTATTATTTCATTTATCTTTTTAAAGACTTGTTTGTAAAATATCATGTTTAATGCCCATATTTTTTTTAATAATAAACTTTACAAAATTTTACAATTTATTTCGTTGAAAATGCGTTAAATGTTTATTTTCCTAGGCAATCAAAAATAAAATATTATTTAAATAAAAAAAAACAAGATTTTTGTGCTAAATTATATTTTATGTGAAGATATAATAAAACAGTCATAATAATAAATCAAGCTTTTTGCCAATTAGTTGGACAAATCGCAATAAAACTCTTTCATTCCAAATGTTGCTTTTTATTTCGACGCGTTCGCTTTCGTTTCTCGCGGAGCGCCCCCGTTTTCGGTGCCTTTTTCGTTCGTTTATTTTATGATTGCACGAGCAGTAAAACGTTTTACGACTCCTTGCGTCCTACAAACGTCCTGCGCTTATCAAATGCGCGCCCGGACCGAATCAACTGATTGCTAATTCCGTCATGCCGTCATGCCTTCGACGCTTTATACTTTTTATTATACTTTCCCATGCACTCTCGCTGGCGGCTTCAGAGGCAAAGCAGGTGTAAATGTAATGTGGTCACAAAGTCGTACCGATAAGGACGGTGATAAATTTAGAGGTGCTTAAAGGCGACGACAAGGTGTTGATCGGACCTTTCTTAGTCCAAATGTCCTAAAGTCGAAAACACCGAAAAGACAAGAGAAAAAAAAAAGATATGAAATGAAATATCAGATTTCATATCAAGAAACTAATAATGGTCTGGTTAGATTTATCGTAGATTTATGTCGGAAATTAATTTATTTTGTTGATTTCTGCGATATTTTCTTAGTAGAAATAATAAAATAGGAATTTATCTAACAAGATATTTTTGTGCGTTGAAATAAAAAAATTGTTTTTATTCTATTTTATGTTAATATGTGTAAAAAATCTGCTTGAGTTAGTCTGGAATATGTTTTACTTCTCTACACTTTGTTTCACTTCTAAAGTCGGGAATTCAAAGAAAATATTGACTCGCCACCCATTTTAATTTTCAATATTTGAATATTTACCCAACGAACGTGCAAACGTAGAAATACGCTCGCACAAATAGCACCAACACGGCCACACGCTGAAATTTTAAGATTAAACGCCTGCGCAATATGTACGCCTGCCGAGAATATTATGTTGAACAAACAACGGCGCAATCTAATACGCCGCGACGCCGCTTCGGAGGTATAATAATCTAATTGAAAAGTGCTCGCGCTATCTTGCAACTAATGTTCCATTACGAGCGAGCCTCGCGCAAACTTTGTGCCCGTTGTTGTCTGCCTAGCCGACATGATGCACCACAAGTTGTCCTCGAGTGAGGGAGTCGCAAAGCGCTAAAGCAGAGCTGTGCAAAGGTTGCGCGTGGGCTGTTTTCCCTAAACGCCCTAAACAAATGCACGCGTTAGAATTACAACAGACTAGACGTGGTGAAATGTTAGTTTTAACCTAATTTTATGGCTTCAGCCGCAAATTGCATCAATTACAGGAATTGCATTTGCACTAATATGGCCTGATTAAGTTTGCTAAATGCGTTCGAAAACAGAAGAGCACAAATACATTACACAGCATATTGCATCACAATATGGTTATCAACTATCTGAATAACTTTTTTGGTATCAAAGTCAAGCACCAACCTTACCTATAATATAGTAAAACAAGTCGTCAACAACTGTGCTTTCAGATAAAATTTTACCAAATTTAATGGAGTGCTTTTAGCATAATACTATTATTATATAAGCTAACTTTGATGGATTATGAAGCAAATAAATTTATAATGATGAAATGAAGTTTGTAACATACATTAACTTCTCTTTTTTAGCGACCATGCAGTTTTAGAGTGCCTACTTTTAAAATTTTCCCTGATTTACTCACACATATCATTTTTTAAATATAATATTACATATTGGTATATTCGAAATTAAAATAATTGAATAAAGTAATGAAATAAATATGAGGGAAAGTTGCTAATCCCACGCATGTCAATATACACTATATGCCAATTATGCGTAATTTTAGTATGATATTGTTTTAATTGGCATCCTCGACACGTGATACTTGCGAAGTAATGGCAAAATTAATAAATTAATATTGACATGACTTTAATACACAATGCGAAACTATACGCATATTCCTACAAAATAATTTATAATCAAAGTGGTGTTATTCAAAAAATTTATTTTATGTTTTATAAATCTATAAATTAAAATATTTGTTTGTTATTTATTAAAAAAATAAAAAGTATATGTTGCGTAATTTATTTGGTGGTTTAAACAAAGTGTATAGTATTTACATAAATTAGTAATGCAATAATCGTAAGATAAATTGAAGCAAACACGCGCATTCATTTCTCAAACATAGAAATTAATTAAATTAAGTTTACTGTAATTGTTCTTTACCATCTTGTATAAATACTGTTTTGCCTTGTATAGTACAATTAGTTCCAATTTCAGTTTTCAAAAAATTACATACAAAAAAAAATGAAATACGCTAACATTTTAGACATTAGTTTTTTCTCATTGGGCATCAATCGACAACGTCCTCATGACAACCCAAAAATCGCAAATGCTATCTGCATTTTCTGGCTTATAGCCGCGGTTTTTTATTGCACGCTATCAACAATGTTGTTGTTTCATCTAAATGGTGATGTTGATCTACTTGCGAAAACTATGGAAGGCATGACAACATTCTTGCAGGTTAAATTATAAACCAAAAACAAAAATGAACAAAATAATTATTTTTACATTTACAGATGTTTATTAAATCAACACCACTATTATTACATCGCAAACGTTTTTTGAAACTCTACGAGCAACACAAAACATTTTGGAATCCCGATTTATTTCCTGAAACATTACAGAAGAAACTGGAGGTGACATATAAAACATCCTACTACGTTTCTCACATATTTCGCGCATCCGTGTACTTCACGATGTCTCTGTTTTACATACAACCAATTTTCAAAGAAGGTGAATTGTTGATTACATGCTACGTACCTGACTATACACACGCATACGCCGTGATCCTCGCATTTCAATATGTCTACGCGTTTGCTTTTGCTTCGTTTGTCTGCGGTTTTGACATCTTATACGTTGCGTATGCTGCACATCTTGTGGTTCAGCTACAGATAATCAACTATGTTTTGGAACATCTTGACATTAACGATCCAAAATACCTATCAAAGTTTAGAAAGTGTATGGAGCATCATAAATTTATACTTAGGTATTATCATCTTTTAATTTTCATATAATTTACGTTTTGATTAAATTATATTTCAGTTTCACAGCTGAGATGCTGAGTATTCTAAGTATTCCACTTTTGGGTCAGTACATCTTGTCAATATATTTGAGCTGTATGGAATTGTATCTTTTTGCTGACAGTCTTGGAAGCCCTGAGCGATTTATTCTAAGTGTTTTCTACGTATTGTGCCTATATATACAATTTGCATTGTATTGCTTTCCAGCTACCGAATATACCGCAGAGGTTTTTAACAGATATTGTTAGTAGGGTATAACTTATAAAACACTGATCATTTTAGGCCGAACGGTTAGCGACGGCTATTTACAGTAGTTCTTGGTACAACGGACCTGTGTCACTTCAGAAAAATGTTGGATTTGTCATTCAGCGTGCCCAAAAAGAATTCAAGTTTATGGCAGCTGGACTAGCTGAAATTAATTGCGAAGCTTTTGTTGTCGTGAGTAGTATTTCTGTTTCACAAGTTTTATTTAACAATAATTATATTTATAGGTGTTTAAAACATCACTTTCGTTTTACACTCTAATGCGACAAATGAAAGAAAACGTTGATGGATGAAGGTGCAATTATTCATGAGTAGTAAATTAGATTCTTGAGCAAAAATTCAATAGCATATTTTAATTTTTTTTTTTAATTTCAGTTTTTGGTGAGAATTTTAGAGCACTTAGGAATTACAATTGAACAACAACAAAAACATGATAAAAAGTCTCTTAAACTACAACATAACCGTTACAAGCTTATTTAAATATTTTAAATATTATAAAAATTATCAGATTTTACTGAGCCTTTTACGACATTCTCTAGGGCCAAAATTTGCCAAAAAAAAATTCACTTAAAAAGTAATCTAGTGTTATTTGTATCAATATATGAAATAAATTCGAAATATTTATTTATATTTAATATAGGGCCTAAAATTATTATTATGTTTTAAAAATTAAATTTTCAACTATGTGAACTTTATTCATGATTTGGACGTCAATTTTATTTGTACAAACAAAGGAAAACAAAACACAATATTTAAATTTTATTACCAATCGCGAGGTTTCAATATTATTTGAATGTTTTGTTCAATACAACTACACATTTTTATTAAATTGCTTTCGGCCAACCAAAAATCAAAATCACGAGTTTACATGTTTAGTTATTATTAGCAAATAGCTGCGTTAGTTAGTTAGTTAGTCTAGGTTATAAAATAATAAATGTTAGGGTGTAATTTTGGTTATGTCAACTTTGTATTATTAATTTTGTTATTGTTATTCTAGTTTAATATACCGAGAATAACTTTATAAATCTCCAATAAACCCATATTTGATTATACCTACTCTTACTGGTATGGTGCTTATCGCGCCATCGAGCATACCGTGATCGTGTTGGGGTAAATAATAGTGTTAAAGACACTGACGTTGTCGGCATGCTAATGAAGCGTCTCCGTCGGCGGCGCGTACCGTCCCAGAGTTATCCTGCGAACGAATCGTTAAACTCCTATTTAACGACTGACTCACCGACACACTCGAGAATACTTTTGCCATTTTGGTATACATTACACGTGTACGCATTAAATACACCTTTATAGGACGAACCCGTAGCGCAAATCTGCGTCCTGCTGGAAGAAAGGATGCTTAATTGATACACACGTCTGTTTAATACGCTTGCGTGTGTGTGCTGTATGTGTGTGTGTGCTAAACCATCTGGAAACACGCGATAGAAAGATGTGTTGGAAGGGCTGCGAAGATAAAAGCTGCCCGGGTAGTTAGCGCAAAGCGGTAGTTAAATCAGCAGCGACAAAACAAGGACAACGACGGTTTTAACTACGCCTCGAAGAGATTTCGGGGCGCAACGGTTTGTTTAATTAAAATTAAGGCAATGTCAATTAAATATGTTTTCAGGCAACGATGATCGAATACAGAACGCAGCATATAACTCAACGCAGAATACATAACAATGCAAACAAGGATTACTACTTAATCAGGTACATGTAACTAAAATCTATTATTGTAGTTTTATTTTTATTTTTTATAACTTAATTGAAACACAAAATATTTTAATATAAATAAATGATATTTTTTTAATCAACAGAGAATTGTTCTTTTTTTAAACTAAATATTTTTTATTTCTTAAAAGCACTTTCATTGTACTACTCCAGTAAAGATATAACAGATCCTCGTCGCTTGACAGTTCGGCCCACTTGAGTTTGTATCAAAGCACTTCTAAATATTTAATATATTTTTATTGAAAATTTAAACAATTTACTTTCGTTGCTTGACACGCTTACGCTACTCACATTCGTTTGGTTATCGCGTTGTTTTGCCTCGTACATTATTACATCAAATTCATACTGCAACTTACGTCAGCTCGTGTGTTTTGAAGAAAAATGTAGCAACGCACATATCTTATAAATCGCGGCGAAAAACTCGTGCGCGAGCTTGTAAAAAGTTAATATTTTAACAAAAATGTCTCATTATTGGATAATGTCGCTTTGAAAGAGGTTCAGCGTGACGTGCTTTCAAATTGATCCGACATCTATCTCCATTTTCTTTTTAATGTAAAGTTATGGATTTTTGACATATTTTCTTTCACATTATTTTTATCATGCAACTTTAATACTTATATTTAACAAAGTATAAGTAAATTTGGTAATATTTAAGCGAAAAGAAAAATACTTGTTGAAATAATGGTTTATAAAGAGAAAAGTCTATAAAAACTTAGAAAAGGTCTGACAAATGGTTTTCCCTGATCTCAATCACATTGACCGTAGTTTAAATATTGATCTGTTTAACCCGCGTTTCATTCTAGAAGATTTTTTCAATCAAGAAAGTGCTGTCTGATGTAGTATTTACTAAATTGCTATTTACGCAATTATCTCTATAATCTATATGTTCATCGTCGGCGGACACGTCACTCTACAATCAAAGCGACAAACAAAAAGAATAAAAATATTTTGATTTGATTGAATGTTACGTAAGTCCAATAGAGCCGACAATATTGGAGTAGGTACCTAACTGTCAAAGTGCAAAGTAAACAGTTGCGTTATCACCGCCAGCGATAAAAACGCCAGTTAATTAAAGCAGAAGTGTGTATTTATAGTCGGCTGATGTTGATTTTAGTTTAGTTCACTTTTTGGCAGGTATTTGCGTTTGTGATCTTTAATACTTATATATTTTTCAAATATATCAACATGTCGATCGTCGCTGGTAAATACGAATTCACCAAACAAGAAAACGGCAAGGATTTCTATGCCGGTGTTGGAGGTAAATATACAAGTAATAATTATATTCATTCAGATTAAATTTAATTTTGGTGGTTTTGGTGTAGTTTCGGCTGAATTTGCTGAGAAATCAGAGACCACCCCATGCACTCTTGAGGTGATTGTTGCGGGTTCTAAGGTTACCTTGAACACCCACTACACCGGTAAGGTGAACACTGTTGAATGCCAGATGGGACAAGAGTTCAAGGACAAAATGCCAAATGGCTTGGAACTTGACGTGAGTTATTCAAAATATAAATTTCGAGTACCTATTGAATGCTGAAATAATTGGTGTTTTCAGAGCACTCCTTCAATTGATGGTAATAAACTTATTATCAAGTCCAACAAGGATGGTAACTACATCGGTGAACGCGTTTATGAATTCACCGGTAGCGAAGTTATTGTTGTATGTATAATTAATTTATGTTTATTCCATAGTTTACTCATTAATATTTATATATTTCAGAGTATTTCCTCCGTAATGACTCCTGCTGTATGCAAACGTTTTTACAAGAAGTGAAAAAAACACTAGACCATCCAGTGTTTAATTTTTTTTATATCACTGGCATAAAATGATTTTAAGTAAATAAATAATAAGTAAAGTTTACATTTGACTTGTGATTATATAGTCGTTGTGTGCATTAAATAATAATATAAAAAATGTGTAAACCTAAATTACAAGATTTAAGTATAATAGGTATGTACTTAAACATACCACAAATCTGGAAGTGATAGCAAACACTTACTGAAGTTTCCTGAATCTTCTAAACTTTCTTCTGTTGTTATGCGTTTTTGGAGCTTCTGACAGCTTATAGTTTACTTAAAACTTTGTATCCACAACGCATACAAAACTTTAAGTATAAAATTGATTAATTAAATAAATATTACTTGTTTGCCTTAGGAGGTACTACTCGTACACTCAGAACGTATTTGTATATAGCCAAATCCAGAAATATTTTTATATTACTCATTTAGTGAGTAAAATTTTTATCAATTTTCTAAATCTTTGAATATAATTGCATATCACGGTCACCTTAAAACTTAACAAGGTTACCTTCATCATAAAATAATTCATGTCATGTGACTCAATAAAAATACAGATGAAATTTTAAGTACGTGTTATGTAATATCAATGCCCTGCAATTTAGACGGGTACAGTTTGAGTAAATATACTAATATCTTCAATTTAGTCAGTTTATTTATATGTTTTTTTGTATTTATTTATTATCTAATATAAGTCTACTAAATTCATCACTTATCTGGTATTAACATTGCTATATAGTTGCATTAATTACAATTAAACATAAACATATTAACATATAAGTTGATTAGCAGATATTTGATATTAAATCAAACGTTTATAATAACGAACTGCTTTGAGCGGTGTAAAATGAGGAACCAGAATTGTCTACAATAAATAATATTTAAAAGTTATTCATTATAATCAATTATTTTTTAAATATACTTACAACTGTCAAACCCTCTTTACTAAACTCCAAATCACGTCCACCATAATCTTCTCCATTGAATGTAGATTTAATTCTCAAAATATTCCCATCCAAAGTTGCTACACTCTACAAAAACAAAAAACTCACAATAAATAATTATAAAAAACACGTAATAACATAATAATTATAGACCTAGTATTCCCAATAGATTTCTAAATTCCTTTAGGGAATTATCTTGATGGAAAATTTTACTTATATAGTAGCGCGAAAACTTTGCAACCTAACAAATTTAACAAACTTTGCACGAACTTCTAAATCTATTATTAATATCATTTCTCTATGGATATGCTCATAACCATATAGCAGAATATAGAAAATACGTATTTAAAGCAATTACCTGAAAAACATTGCCCGTAGGTACTTCATCCAAGAATGGTACACCTAACTTGAAAACAGTTTGAATCGTTTTATTGGGCAAAGTGTGAGTCAGTTCGTAAACCCCGGACTTTCCATGTTGAACTATATCAATTTGAGCTTGTAGATTAGCTATTGATTTAGCTTCTGGGACTAAATAAACATAACCAAATAAATAACTAAATAAAGAAATATATAAATAATAAAATATTGAGTGTAAATAACGTACCAGTTGTTTTAAAAAACGCGTCACAATTTTCACTCTTGTAATATTCATATCGACCAGCAATGTCAAACATTTTATTTAAAACAAAACAAAATGGAAGTAAAAATTACTGCAATTTTATTAAGTGGTTGCAGGTTGGCATAATAAAATTTAAAAAATACATGTATTTATATACAGTCACAATGATTATACATTTGTTATCAGCACAAATCAAGTGTGCAGACGGGCGACGTGCAAGTACAAAAATAAATCCGTTGTTACCTCACCTGTTATCACTGATAACGCTACTTACCTACAATAAAAATATTCGTAAAAAGTGATGCACTTTGTTTAATAAATAAAAATTTAAAATTTGTGGCTACAATTTACAAAAGTTTAAAAAACGTTGTTTTGTATTTCACAAACTATAACCCGGAAAATGTCATCAGTAAGCTGAAAACTGTTGCCGTGCATATAATTGCACTGTTGCGTTGCATGGTAGCAAAGTGAAAAAGAACAATTGAGATAGGGATGCAATGATAACCCCGGCGACTAGGTCCTAAATCATGCAATAATGATGCGTACACGGTTTTGCTTTCAGTTGGGGCGAACTGGCCGTTCGTAGACCGAGAGAGTCAAGTTTTGACAACGCAAAAAGACCAACTCATACAGTACATGACCATAATAGCCACAATAAACTATAAATATGCTCATAATCATTCATCAATTCTAATTTTATGATATAAATATTGATATGTAATTTGGTTTGAACAATGACCAGAATACTTAGTTGTTTCGGATATATATAGCATGCGATTTGTTCTGGCAATGTTGGTAAATTGTTGAGTAATGACCGGCAATTAACAGCATACAACATGTGCCACGAATCGTCTGAGTCTTCAACATTTCTTGCTCCTTCTCGGACTGTTTTCTTTTCTCCGTAGCACAAATGTAATTATTTCACTGAATTCTTGCTTTTGCAGGGTTGGATTCAAAAAATACAATTTTTTATACCCAATTCAAGTTTGCTTCGGTATACTGCAATGGAGTTTAAATGGATTACCCATTTGAATTTGACTACTCTCGAATTGCTTATAAAAGAGGTAATTCACATCCTCCGGTTAGAGTTGCCTCTGCGCCGAAAGGAGCGGTCCGGCGAAGCGAAGCGTGATGCAGAGTCCTTCGTCCTTCGCCGGCCGCACGCGATGCTCCCGCTTGGCTGCCGCCGTCTGTTCGATTAGAAGCCGGCCGTGCCTGCGCCCATCATCATCATGGTTCACCGGTGCGGCGCGCGAGCGAAAAGGAGATACACAGCTCACTTGTCAAAGCCCACCCCCATCGACCGCCTCGCAACCATCCTGCGCACCAGAGTAGTACTTCTCGCTCGTGTCGACGATGTGGCCAAACATGCGGAAAACGCGTCGCCCAGCATTAAAACCCACATTTTATCATCACTAACCTGATATAACCGCATCAGTGAAATTTTTGAGTTTTACCTTTTTCCTACTAGTTTACAAAATCAATTTCGTAAATAATTTATCGCTTTAAATTTCTTAGCATCGATTCTTGGTGGTTCTTCGCAATCGTGAGACACATAATGGCGTATAATGGCATTGTTTTACTTGGAACGTTCGTGTGCAAGCGAGCTCTTTTGTTTGAAACTTGTGGGGCGTCTTGAGGGAGGCAAGAGACGTCTTCTGCGTCGTCCTTTGAGACGTGAGCATGTTCGTGCGTTCGCTAACAACTTTGCAAAGTTGTGCGCGCACGCGACCTCCACACTAGTGTTATTAAGTATATTAAGTTCTCCCGAATTTGTTCCTTAATATAATTTGGATTTATGGTGGAAACTCGTTAGCGTGAGTGGACATTCCTCGTGTTTTTGTTTTTCTAATTATTGATCTATCGAGTTTCTCCGCAGAGATAAAAAAAATTTAATCCAAAAAGGTTAAAATGAAATTATGTTATCGACGATTTGTATATTTTGTTTTATATGAAACATATGCAAACGGGTTAAAATGCTTAGTTGGGTTTTAAGGGGTGAGTTTTGCAAGAGATTAGCAAGGCGTAAGCGATCGGCGTCCGCTCGAACAATCAAAGTTCCAGCACTCGTTCGAGGTTATTCGGTTATAATTATCGAGCCGGATCAGTGAACAATAAAGATTCACCCCTACGAGCAACACCCTCGACAATCCCCGACGATGTCGTTTGCATAACAGTCACTTTCACAGTTTACACTGTCGTTCCCCATCATGAGCATCAAACAAACTAGAGTTATTTATAGTTTCGGTTATGGATTTTAGATTCTATTAATAATTTACAGAAAAATTATAAATTTGCTTAAGTATATCTACTATTTGAATATGGATATTGTTGGATTTAGTTATTATTTAAAAATTGGAGTATTAGTGCAAATTTTATGAGATTGTATTTTGCGGAAACTATAATATTGTTACAACTAATAACCAATGCGGCCTGCCAGGCGACTGCTGATAATTGAATAACAATAATGTTTGCGTTTGTATTAGTTGAAACAACAACCGAGTAATTGAAGCGACGCCGGTGCATTGCAAATTATGTTTTGGTTTGCGTTTATCAATTAAAAATGGAAAACTTATGTTTTATTAAACATTAATTTTAGTTATAAAATTAAAAACTAATTATTAATGATTCAAATCATTAAAAAAAAGTTTTTTCTGAACTATAAAAACACCGCTGGTTAAAATTGTATACGACAGGCATTGGAGGAAGGTAGGACATACAGGGTGTTTGTCATAGGAAGCTTTGCCAATTGTAGAAAATGTCGTCATGTAGAAAATGATGTCGTTACGGATCTTTTTAAATCCAATACAATAATAATTATTTCCAAATCTCTCATTTTGTTCGAAAGATACAGAGTGTTTTCTGCCACAAATTTTACAGATTTGTTACTTTTCAAATCTTCTCTTTGCAATTGCTTGTTCCGGAGTAAAACCCCAAGGTGTGAAACCCGCATTTATGGATTTATATACAAATTGTAAACATCACTTTAGTAGATGTTTGCTACCGGATGACGAACTTTGGTAACACATGCTGTAGTGAATGTATTGCATTTGGTTGCATACTGTAGTACCTTGCTCGGTGCACACAAATAAATGTTTGCCTTCTAACTCCCAAATTCACTACCGTGGAAATAGTAATGTTGCAACATGATTTCTATACGTGCATTATATAGTACACACAATAGCGGCATATTATTGATAATTATACAAGCAGTTTGCGTGTTCTCCATGTCGCAATTTTGGTCGGCTCCATAATTAATTAACAAATTTATTTTTTGTTGTGTTTTTTGAAGCAAAAAATATAGAAAATATAGAAAAATATAAAATGTTTAATACATTTTTTGATTTTTTTTATTAGACTTGTTTTAAAGAAAACATATTTTTAATATACTAAGTTATTATATAACATTTTCTATTTTATTATTAAGGTTTTATTATATAGTTCATGGTAGTTATAAAATAGAAGTGAATATGTTTCCTTTAGAGGTTTTTTTGATGTACCTTGATGTTCTACTTGTTTTTGCATCCCCCCACCGACACATATTGCGTGAGTGTATGCACGCGTTATGAAAATAGCGAGCGAGCGTGCGCGCAGCATCCGAGCGGCGGCGTGGCGGTTGGCGGCGTCGCGACGCCGCGTCAGTCCACACTGGGCATAGCGTTCAAACGGTTCGTCGTCCGGCACCGCGCGCACGCTCGCACACACACACCTTTTAATATTCTCACCCATCCTCACTTAATTGCCCAGTCTTGTCTCTGTATAACAAACAACCAAACAAAAATTATACCAGATAAATATTCCAACTGTAAACACTCACCGCAGTACATCAACAACAACAAACCGCGCACGCTGCGAAAGTTTGTCAAACTTTCAACTTTAGCTCAACTTTAACCAGTTATCACTTATTTATTCAATTACAACAAATTAAACCCAATTAAAACATCACGTGTGCTTGAATCTGATTCGCGTTCGATTTGGGAAGTGATTTAAAGTGAAATAAAAAAGTACCCGAGTGATTCGGACTTTATTCCACGAGAAAGTCAGCATATCTAAATCGTCGTCAAGCGCAGACTTCAGCGAGACGAAAAACCCGGCGGTCCTCTGATTGCATGGTAAGTGCAAGCATAAATTCGCGCTTATTAAAAATACCGTCATATCACTGTCTGACAAAGAACATAGGGGTAAAAACACGACCTGGCGCCGCGTAGAAAGTGAAATATGGAGACAAAACGCCGGGAAGCGAGTGAAAATAGAGCGCAATAATGAGGCACACATTCAACGCGAGCAGCGGGCCGCACACATTCGCAATCGTGCATTCAAGACAAACCTGCGAATCTTTTCTGCTATCGCGCTGCTGGCGTGTTTGCCACATGGAGTTCTCGCGGATATTTTCCGCGTGCGCCACTCGCGACGCGCACAAAGGCAAGAGGACTTTTTGCGTCGTTTTTCCCTCGTTTCCCGGCTGCCGTCGCGTCTATTATGCCTGCGAGCACTGGAGTTTTTCTCGCGGCGCGTTACGGGTAAAAAAGGCCGCCGTCGGTAAAGCTGGAGTTTGAATCATAGCTGGAGTTGAATTCAAAGTTGCTTTGGAAACTCACAGAGTGTGAGTTTATTAGGATAAGTATGAATAGGGGTAGAAATTTTCTACGGGAAATATTTTTCAATATATTTTGTCAATTATTTTCGAAAAAAAGTAATTTGAGCAAAAAATGCAATGTCTATTAACAATGTGAAAAACTAGTTTGATTATTTATTGTTTTACGCTTCGGCGAATCGCACAGCGTCCCACGCAAATGAAAGTCATTAGTTATAACAAGCTAGTTACAGGTTTTTCACCGAATATTCCCTTCTATTTTGTATAGCGAGAATTTTGGGTTCTCTTTTATTTTTATTTTTGATGAGTTTGAATCTAAAATTTGAAAACTAAAAATGCAATGCGTTTTAATTTAAAATTTTCCATATAAATTCTTATTATTATATCATTTTATCAAGAAAGTAAGAAAGAAAAAGATAAAATCTTTGTGGAAACGAAAACGGCGTTTTGGAGTAAACAAATGAATATTGGCGAAATGATTTGTTTGCCAACATAGTAAACAAACAATTTATTTTCATTTGTTTGGAATGCGGAGATGTGTG